CTGGAAAGATGGCTCAGCAGTTAGGAGTTCAATTCCCAGCGCCGACATGGTGACTCACAACTGTAATTCCAGTTACAGGAGATCTGACACCCTCTTCTGGCCCCTGTGGGCACTGTATTCATGTTGTACACAGACATTGGAGCAAACCCTCATACACACGAAATAAAAATAAAATCTAGCCTGTTGTAGGCCATGCCTTTAATCCCAGCACTTAGGAGGCAGAGGCAGGCAGATAATCTGTGAGTTCGAGGCCAGCCCAGTCTACAGAGGTAGTTCCAGGACACCCAGGGCTGTCAGAGAAACCCTGTCTCAAAAGACAAAACAAAACAAAAAAGTAAATACAAAAAATCTTTGTATTAAAAAATCAAGTTATATTAAAAGTATCAGTACAGGAAACCCAAGTATGTGGCTTTCACCTTGTCCCCTCAGGGCACTGAGGTCTTCCCCCTCATCGGCTCTGTACTACACGACCCCGAGGTTTTCCAGAACCCAGGAGAGTTCCACCCGGGCCGCTTCCTGGACACTGAAGGTCACTTGAGGAAACATGAAGCCTTCCTGCCCTTCTCCTTAGGTATCTACTGGGCCTTAGGGATACCCAGAGGGTGCTGACTGGTTATAACCAGTGGGTGTCAGTGCCAGTCGGGGAGGTGCTTTCCTGCACCCCAGGGTCTCTGTTGGCTCTGATGTGAGCACAGCTGACCCAACCCCTTCTTCCTGCCAGGTAAGCGAGTCTGCCTGGGAGAAGGCCTGGCTCGGGCGGAGCTCTGGCTTTTCTTCACTGCTATCCTGCAAGCCTTCTCCCTGGAGACGCCGTGCCCACCAGGTGACTTGAGCCTGCAGCCAGCCATCAGTGGACTTTTCAACATCCCCCCAGACTTCCAGCTGCAGGTCTGGCCTACCGGCGACCAGTCCACCAGATGAAAGAAGGCGGGAGCCACCTGGGGTGACAGCCTCAAGGGGGTGTATGAACCAAGTGTCTCAGAAGCTACGCCACACCACACATCGTAAGTCCAGGCAGCTGCGGGGACCCAGGATCACACTCACCTACACAACTCCAAGGCAACAGATGCTTTTTTTTTTTTTTTTTGAGAGGGCTGTCTGAATATTGGTCTGGCTATGTATATGTAGCCCAGACAGGTCTCAACCTTGTGATCATCCTGCCTCAGATTCCCGAGTCCTGGAATTACAGGTATGGACCACTAAGGGGCTGCATAGGCTTTCAGACTACATAAATGTAATCTATGTCACCTGGACTCACAAGCATATTACCGGATACCCACCAAGCCGTCCACCAGACAACCCATGTGCTCACAATCCTAGTCCTGCTACCACCTACACATCCACACCAACAGCCCAGCCATGTTCAGGACTCCATGTCTATCACTGCTGTTGCTGGGTCCTCGCCACAGAAAACAGCATGCCCCAGCTGGGGTCATGCGACAGCCAGAACGATGTCCCTGTTTACTCCATGGATGACCTCACCACCATCCAGGCACATGAGTGCCTCCATCTATGGCCGCCAGCCAGTCATCCACACAGCCGGGCCATATGTGACAATGTCTTGGCTCTTCCGAATTTCTACCTACTGACACACACCATGACGGCAAAACTGTTCCTGGCCACTTCCACGCCCTTGTTCATCAGCCACACTCCTTCCAACAAATTTTCCCAAATATAAATGTAATTGTGGACACAAACCTTGTACAAATGAGTTTGGCAACCCCCAGGAGGAATGTCCCCAGTCATGTTTAATCAGGGCTCTGCTCCCAAACACATCCTGACTTTTCTTGGCATTGAAGTCCCCGTTCAAACTGTAGCTCAGAGGTAGACAACACTTGCCTGGCATTTTTAAAGCCTAGGGTTCACTCCCCAGCAATGCCCCAAAAAACAATTTTTTTGAAAATCTCCTTCCAACCATTCCCTAGCCCTAACCCTGGAAGGACTAGATGAGCAAACAGGGATCAGGTTCTACCCCTCCTTGACGGGACCGAGGCCATATCTGACTTCTTTGTAACTCGAAAGGCCCCATTTTTGCAATCAAAGTTTGTTTCTGGCCCAGGACCGGACCCCCCCCCCTCTGCTTGTGTGAGTAAGGGGTGGGGATGGGGGAGTCCGCCCCTCCCCTGAGGCTGGGAGGGAGCTGAAAAACAGGGTCAGTGCCCTTTCTGCCACTGACATCAGTACCAGATGTGAAGCTGAGGGGGAGGGGAGGGGAGGGACAGGGCTGAGGCTGTCTGCTGTCCTGGAAAGTCTTCAGCCAATGACAGCTATAGCCTTTGGAAGTTCTCCAATTCTGAATGCAGTTACGGACACACAGGCTCTAAGGACACAGACCGGACGGGTGCCCTGCTCTTGTCTCTTCAACACCGTTTCCCTCCAGGTTTCACCATTCTGGAAGTGTGCACCAGTGGCAGACACAAGCTTAACATGTACAGGGCCGTGAGTTCCATCTTTATCACAGACAGAATTAAAAATAAAATAACCACTGACTTTCTGCTGTGTCTGTTCCTCTTATCGCTCTTTCTTAGGGTTAGTTTAAGGCAATTATTAGAAAAAAAAAATAGAACATGCCTGCCTTTTAATTTCTTTCTTTTTTTAGAAGGTCTACTCAGGTGGTGGTGGTGGCGTTTTACCTTTCATCCCAGCACTAGGGAGGCAGAGGCAGGTGGATCCCTGTGAGTTTGAGGCCAGCCTGGTCTACAGAGTGAGTGCCAGGACAGCCTGTTACACAGAGAAACCCTGCTTCTAAAGCAAAACAAAAAAGACAGGATCTTATATGTCCCAGGCTGACCTTGAATTCTCTGTAAAGCCAAGGCTGCCCTTGACCTTCTGACCGCCCCCCCCCACAAGTCTACCAAACGCTAGGATCACAGATGCCTGCTTTTTTGTTTTGTTTGGTCTTTTGAGACAGGGTCTCCCTGTGTAGTCCTGACCATGTCCTAGAACTTGCTCTGTAGAACAGGCTGGCCTCAAACTCAGAGCTTCTGCCTCCAGAGTGCTGAGATTAAAGGTGTACTCCACCATGCCTGGCCTGGGTTCATATTGTTATCATATTTCAAGTGATTTGAAAAGGGATAAGGCTCTCCCCTTTTTTATTACACTTATTCATTTATCTGTTTTACTCTGGATGCATATGAATGGACACACACACACACGCACGCACACGCACACGCACACGCACACGCACACGCACGCACGCACACACGCATGCCACATCTCCCCCATGGAGGGCAGAGACAAACTTACAAGAGTCAGTTCTCTCCTTGCACCATGTAGGTCTCAGGGGCCACTCACAGGTCATGGGGTTTACCACCAAGTGCTTTTACACTTTGAGCCATCTTTATGGTCCTTAAAAAAACAAAAACAACAGACCGGGGCTAATGATCAAGGATCATGTCTAGGTCCATGATCTTACTGTGTTGAAGTCTGTGACCCATGCTACCACTGAAGGCCATGTGGATGCCAGGGGTCAGGTCAATCACCTGAGTCCATATTGGTGACCCAGAGACACGCTGTAGCCAGGGCCATGCAGATCTGAGTGACCCAATCCACCCAATCCCATGGTGACATCCTGACCAGATGTGTAGCTGAGAACCATGCCTGGGTCCATGGCCCTGCTGCAGGCAGGGTCTATTATGTTGTCCAAGGTTCCTGTTACCATTGAAGGCCACATGGATGCCATGTTAGTGTCCAAGGGCCTTGCTGTCACGGGGGCCAATTTGAGTGACCTGCACTGCCACCTGGGGCAGTGGTGATGTCCAGACCCAGCTGCTGCCAAGGACCAAGTCTGGTCCCACAGAAATCTGGGTCTGTGATGCCACCAAAGGTTATAAGGAAGCCTGAGGTCGGGGCCACAACCTGTGGTCTTGGTGGTGTCCCGGGACCATGCCACCACCAGAGCCATCCTGATCTGAGTAACCTGTGTTTCCACCCGGAGCCAGGATGTCATCTGGGCCCAAGCTGCTGACCAGGGTCATTCCTGGGTCCATGGTTGTACTGCAGTTGGGGTCTTTGCTGATGTCTGTGACCCATGTAGCCTCAGGGGTCATGGGAACCATGTGTGATGGAATCAGGACCATGCTGGATCAGCCCTGCCCTTTGCTGGTCCTGGGAAAGCTGATCCTGTTCTTGCTGGATGCCACAGCAAGAGAGATCCCTGCCCCACAAACACACTCAGGAAAGATGGCCCCACCCCTCACCATGGGTTGGGGAAAGTTGACCTCGATGGCCCTTGCCTGATGGGGTGAGGGCAGTGGCCTGGTCTGACCAGCTCAAATACCACCAGGTCCACAGCCAGGCCTTGGGTTGCTACACCCTAACATCTACTCCCATCTAGGACCTGCTGGAGCTTGTGAAGGGGCTGCTCCTGTGGAGCAATACCAGAAGGACCTCCATGACCTTCCTATCCCAGAAGAGTTCCAGCGAGAATCCAGTGATAATGGGGTACCAGAAACCAGAGGCCTTGAAACCAGTGACTCCTTGCAGTGGACATTTGCAAGTAAAACTGATTGGACTAAAGGGTGTAGTGTGTGACACACCACGGCTCCCAATGCCACTGGGATGAATGAAGAAGTGTTGGAGAGACAGGAAAGATGCAGGAGCCAAGAGGTTTCTTTTCTTTTTCTTTCTTTTTTTTTGTTTGTTCATTTGTTTGTTTTTTGAGACAAGGCTTCTCTGTGTAACCGCTCTAACTGTTCTGGCACTCACTCTTGTAGACCAGGCTGGCCTTGAACTCACAGAGCTCCGCCTGCCTCTGCCTCCCGAGTGCTGGGGTTAAATGAGTGCACCACCATCGCCAGGCTTCTTTCTTTTTCTTTTTTTTAAGTTTGCTTTTTGTTCTTTTTGTTTTGTTTTTGTTTGTCGGTTTGATTTTTCTTTTTTAATTTTCATTTCGGGGGCAGGAGAGGGAAGGCTATGGCAGGATTGGAAGGTGAACAGAATCCGGGTATATAATGTGAAATTCCCAAAAATTCACTAAAGAAATCATGTTAGATCAAAAACAACAGCAACCAGAAGGCCCTGCAGTGGTGGCGCTCGCCTTTAATCCCAGCACTCAGGAGGCAGAGGCAGGCGGATCTCTGTGAGTTCGAGGCCAGCCTGGTCTACAAGAGCTAGTTCCAGGATAGGCTCCAAAGCTACACGGAGAAACCCTGTCTCGAAAAACCAAAAAAAAAAAAAAGTGTGTGTGTGTGTGTGTGTGTGTGTGTGTGATATGTATGTGTGCCTGCCTCTACATACACAGATGCAGTGTGTCTGCATGTGTGTGAGGAGGCCAGAGGTAGAAATTGAACGTCTTCCTCTCTCTCCACTTATTTGCTTATTTATTGCTGAGGGTTGTCTTTTTTTTTTTTTTTTTTTATGTGTGTAGGTGTTTTGTCTGCTTGGAGGTCAACCCACCATGTGCATGCCTGGTACCTGCAGAGGCCAGCAGAGGGCGTCAGATCCCTCTGGACCAGACAGTAGAGTGCTGGGAACTGATGCCTCTGGAACAGTAGTCAGTGCTCTCAAACCCTGAGCCTCTCCTCAGCCCCTCCACCTTATTCTTTGAGGCAGGATCTCTCACCAAACAGGAGGCTCACAGTTTCAGCTAGAATGGCTCTCCAGCGAGCCGCAGGGATGCACCTCTTTAGGGAGGGTTACAGGCAGGGGTTCCCAGCCACACCTGCCTTGTACCTGAGTCAGCTCCCCAGCGCCGCAAGCACTTTCCCCTCTGAGCCATCTCCCCAGGCCCGGGATGGACTTCTGTACCCTAGAGATGCCCTCTTTATTAGCAGTCCACTGTGTGCAGGCCTTCTCCATGGTTACAGCCACATGTGAGACATCCCAGTCTGTCCTCCCAGAGCCCCACAGGTCAGAGAGAAGAGAGAAAACAGAGAATCGTACAACAAATCCACGATGAGAATCCATGGAAAGCGCTGCCAAGGAAAAGCACTGGGTGAGCTGGGCGTGGCGGGCACACACCTGTCAGTCAACCCAGCACCCTGGAGTTGAGAGCAGCCTTGGCAATATAGTGAGACCATCTTGGGGCTGGAGAGATGGCTCAGAGGTTAAGAGCACCGACTGCTCTTCCAGAGGTCCTGAGTTCTATTCCCAGCAACCACATGGTGGCTCGCAGCCATCTGTAATGAGATCTGGTGCCCTCTTCTGGTGTGCAAGCATGCGTGCAGTAATTGTATACATAATAAATATTTAAACTCGGGCTGGAGAGGTGGCTCAGAGGTCAAGAGCACTGACTGCTCTTCCAGGGGTGCTGAGTTCAATTCCCGGCAACCACATGGTGGCTCACAACCATCCGTTATGAGATCTGGCGCCCTCTTCTGGTGTGCAGATAGACATGGAAGCAGAATGTTGCATACATAATAAATAAATAAAATCTTAAAAAAAGAACCTCTAACTCTTCTTTTGAGATCCTCATTTCCATCTAAATTTTGCTTCCTTATTCTTATGGCTGTGGGTAGCACTTCTTAAAGGACTCTGTCCAAATATGACTTAACTATTCAAGCTAGAGAAGGAGTGGGGAGCTGGAAGCACAGTCAGAGACCTGGAGAAGACAATTCCCTCATGCCCCTGCTTGCAAGCAGACCTGGCCAGAGCCCACATTCCGCTCTGAGCCTCCTTTTGGCTGCAAGTACCTTCCTTCACATTTCCTCTTTTAGGTCTTCAGGGATCCCCACGGTTCCCTCAAGACTGTCAGTTTCTACTTTAAACCCTTTTTTCCCTGTGATATTGTATGTATACCTTGAATACCATCCCTCCTTCCTTCTCTTCCTCCCTCCCCACCCCACCTTCTCTCACCTACCCCCTCCTCCCTTCCACTCCTCTCAAACATTCCAAGTTCTGGGAGTTTTACTTGGAGACCCAGGCATTCCAGGCAGGTGTTCTGCCACTGAGAAAAACGATCAGCCCCATATTCTTGAAATTGCAATAAAAAATATATATAAGGTAAAGTTTACACTTTTAATGATATTAAGGGTGTCTTTCTGTTCAGACACAATAAGTACATTCACACTGGTGCACAACCACCAACCCCCATGCATGTCCAGAACTGCTTTGGCCTTCCATACCATAGTTTCATCTTAGTGTGAGATTGTGGTTGCACAACAATGTGAATATATATTAGTGTTTCGGGTTTCAAGCTGGCCTTGAACTCACTGCATACCTAAGAATGGCCTTGACCTCCTGACTCTCCTGTCTCCACCTGGAAAGTGCTGGACCAGGATTCAATTCCAAGCCCCCACAGGGCGGCTCACAACTGTCTTAACTCTAAGATGTGACACGCTCACACAGATACACATGCAGGCAGAACACCAATGTATATAAAATAAGAGTGAATACATTGTATATATGAAAACCCCAGGTCCGATCAAGCATCTCCCTGGTTAATGGAGAAAAGAGTTAGGTGCTAGAGGCCTTCTGAACACATCCTCTATGGCAAACACCTAGAGGCACAGTACTGGCCCCTCAGAGCCAGAGTACTGGCCCCAGATCAGCAAGGGCTGGATACAAGTTTCCCTGAGGAGGAAGGCGCAAACAGCGCAAGTGCAGAGAGAGAGAGAGACAATGGGATGCCAGAAATCCTGGGCACCTTGTCAGCTGGGCTACCCACGTGCAAGGAACTGCACTGCACTTTGACCTAGATCGGTCACGCACTCCTACATTAGCACGGGCTGTCCTCACTCCCATCTTACAGCTAGACACACAGACACACGGGGAGACAAGGAATGTACATTTCTTTGTAAGTTAAAATTTGGTACTTCAAAAGCTCTATGTGGCTTCAAAGATTTCCTGAAGTAAAGCAGTGCTTTATTAACAAATAATATTGTCTTCCTTCTCTATAACACTCATTGATTTTCTGTTTGTGTGTTCAAGTGGGCTTTGGTGGGTGTGAGCGTTGATGTCACCCGGGGTCCGCCTGCCTGTCCAGCAGTGACCTTCCATCTGTGAGACTTCTCCAGCATGCAAACGCCTGACCCAGCTCATCTGATGGTGTACGTGGGCAGGCCGCATGCCACTACGTGTCTCCACCTGTCCAGGCTTCTGTGTCAATGCAGAGAGAGAGAGAGAGAGAGAGAGAGAGAGAGAGAGAGAGAGTGTCCTTGTTCAAGCTGAGTGTGAGGGGGGCGTGAAGGGAGGCCTGGGAGGCTGGGCTGAGGGTGGAGGCCCAAAAGGGGGGGGGGCGTCTTGTGCTGAGAGGAGTGGAAATTCTGCAGGAATGTTTACCAGACCCTGAGAGAGTCCAGGGGGACAGCGCCCATTCTCCTAACTCACCAGCCCTGGCTCTGCCCTCAGCC